GTGAGGCCAAAGGGCATTACTAAGAATTCATATGAACCATAGCGAGTTACGCATGCGGTCTTTGGCTCATCACCTTCCGCAATCCGCACTTGATAGTATCCCGACCTTAGATCAAGCTTAGTAAAGAACTTTGCATGCCCCAATTGATCAAATAAATCGGCAATCAAAGGAATAGGGTATTTGTTTTTGATTGTTACCTTATTTAGAGCCCGGTAGTCGATGCATAGCCGCAGTGATCCATCGTGCTTCTTCTGAAACAACACCGATGCTCCATATGGTACCTTTGATGGTTGAATGAAGTCCGCATCCAGCAAGTCTTTTAGTTGTCTCCTTAGTTCCTCCAACTCTGGTGGGGACATTCGGTACGATGCCATTGCTAGTGGCTTGGCGCCTAGCTCCATCTCAATCTTTTAGTCCACTTCCCTCGTAGGTGGAAGTCTATTAGGCAACTCAGGAGACATGATGTCTTTGTACTCCACTAGCACCTTGGCAATCTCCTTTCGTGCACTACAACAAAAAAGGGTTTTTACGGCGCGCAATGCACGCCGTAAAAACCCTTCTACGACATGCAAATGCGCGTCATATTATGACCAGTCATGAAAAGTCATTCATTTTCAACGACATATTTCGTACGCCGTTAAAAACTATTTAACGACAAATTTTATACGCCGTTACTTTTTCTAAGGCATGCTATATTACGCCGTGAAAAACTATTTAACAGCAGATTTTGTGCGTCATTGTTACTTTTTCTACGACTATTTTTGCACGCCATTAATTGGTGAAACAAATAACGACGCTGATTGCGACGCTGATTGCGCACCGTAAAATATGTAATATAGCAACTTATTATGTCTGCCGTAGAATGTGCAATTTTTTTTATTATTTTTTTTTAAATTCAGCAGGTTCTATTTGACCAATTTTATACAATCTAACAAACATTACAAACAAGCATCACAAAACATCAATCAACCACCAAAACATTGTTTGAAACATCACAAAGAAACTATATCGATAAATTATAAACTTTCAACAATTGTCTTCACATTCCAAACATTCAAAAACTATAAGTTCTAAACTATACAAAAAGTTTAAACCATCCAAAACTATGCATATCTAATTTTCTAAACATATCGACAACTATTAAGAGATTATCTAATTTGTCAATGATCCATTATTTGAGCTACCATTAAGTTCTCTTTTTACTTCTAAATTTGTCGTCGACATTAACTTTCGCTTATTGATTCGGCAAAGTCGGCGATCTCTGTTCCATTTCCTTTTTTTATAATCAATAGCAGTGCAGGTTTCACCGCCTCCATTTAGTTCCTTCCCACAAACTGTTGCTTTCAAGTTTGACTGGCAGGTCGGGTCATCCACACCTATTTGGTTGCCGAGTTTATTACTCCGATGACTACCTCTGTTCCGTTTCCTTTTTCTAGATTCAGTAGTAATGTAATTTTCACTGCCTCCATCCAGTTCCTTCCCACAAACTGTCGCCTTCAAGTTTGATTGGCAAGTCAGAACATCCACACCTCCATGGTTGACAACTTTCATGCCTCTATGGCTTACTGGTTGCTTTGCAAGATAATACTTACAAGCAAGCTAATGAGCCAATTTTGCAAGAGAATGACCAGAGACAGACTCGGGGATGGGTGGCCTTGAAAGGTTCACAGAGTGTAGCAGAAGACATGAGAACAAATACAAGGAATGGTTTCTAATAAAGCATAGACCAAGTAACATTAACAGAGTCAAGTGACCTGAATCATTGCTTAATTGGGTATGAGATCATGTTTTTTTCGTAAATGGAGCTGTAAATGATCCAATTCAAACCAAGTATTTGGTTGCTTGAGCTTGATTTTAAAAAACATTTTGAGTTTTGAAATATCTACTTAATACTTGTATAGTTCAAGTAGGGATCAACAAACTTTCATTTAATGATGCTATTTGAGTCATGGAACCAATGCCTTGTGCAATGGACCAGCGGTTAAGCTTCAGCCCATAAGCACAAGCATGTGGGTTAAGGGCAACCATTTTATGCAAATAATCAGGACATGCATTCAACTATATAGGAAACGGGCGTTTAAATTACTCTAGCTAACTCATATTAAAAGGAGTGGAAGCCTTATCTGTTTGGCTCGAGCCTTCGCATAAAATGAACTAGCTTTTGGTTGCAAGCAGGCTCATGGATCCAACACGTAATTACTACAAAAGAAAAGGACAAATCTGGAAGCTCTCACCTTTTAGGAACTATGCGTCCAAGAAGGGACGATTTCTCATGCCATAGAACAGGTGAAGGTAGGACATCTCACTTTTTGATAGCCTGATACAAGACAAGTACAAGATGCATGACAAGCAAACTAAAGACTGAAATAAGGCTCAATGCAACTATCATGAATAAGGGAATAAACACTGATATATTCATTCAATAAGAATGAAATAGAGATGATATTATTCACAACATGCCAATCAAGGAAACATGGCATAATCTGACTTAACCATGATTGAGTAGATTTTGCACAACACATGAATAAAACAAAATCTTTTGACTTTTGAACATTACTTGACTGGTTGGATTTCAAACTCGCAACAATGTATAAACGTTACATACCCTCTCAGGCACAGTCACTCCTTCTGGTGGTTTTGGGATGTGAGAATGAAATGAAGGGTATTTATAGAAGACAGATCTGCAAAAGACGAAGAAAGTGAACAATTAATAGTTGACAAGGAACTGGTTATGTACCACTTGGTACAGTCTATGCTCAAAGCAAACATAACCATCCCCACAAACATACAGGACTTCGTTCTTCATAATCATCGCCATATCACCAATCGATGGATTGATCTCCAGAGGACACAGGTTTATCAGAAATATAAATGTATCCATTCATCCCACTGCTGCATGAAAGTTTCAGTTAGCAGTAGAATGGTAAAAAAAAAAATAACTGGAATATAATCATTTTTTAAAAATTACTTCAACTGAAAGGCAAACTTCAATTAGCACTCCTAAGGAGCAAATAATAGAATAAGATCATCTTATAGTCCAGAGAGCATAGCATGACAAAAAATCATGTGAAGCTTGAAAAACAAGTAACCATGTACTACCAAAGGTTTAAAATTTCATAAGGTTGAACAAGGAATACATGTCAACACAGATTGTTCTCCAATGGTCCACAACAAACTCAGGTAATTGCGACAAGGTTTCTTTGTGAGGTGGACAACACCAGGGGGTGATCATAGTCTCTGACACACTAGATGAGAGTGGTGAAACATGTGAATTTATGAACTATCAGGCTTGGATACCACTTCAAGAGTTACTAGGTCATTAGCCAATTGAAGGCTCTCCTAGGACACTGAGTCCCATATTGGTGGAATCAAATGGACATATATTTACTTTTTAGGATGGAGGCTGCATCTACATATTTCAGCTGGGGGAAACTGAAACTGACATGGGAAACAAAGTGCTCTATGACGGACTTCAGAAAAGGAACAGCAGCATCCCATGACAAGCCCCAACAGTGATCAGCTAGTGATTTTAAAACATACATAGAAATACATATGTGCACATATCAATAAGCAGTCGGCTGTGCAGCTCACTCATGCACATAACTGAGTATCAAAAAAGATTAGAAAGAGAAACCAGAAAGATTGTCAATAGCGGAGAACAAAAGGGGGGGAGAGATTTTGGAGAAACAAAAACTGGATGAGTAATCTGGGATACCGCCTCTGGGAGCTCCAATGTTCAATCTACATAAATTGAAGTGAAGTGAAGACCAATTCTAGGAAGCCCAGAGAATACATGGATTTTATTCAGGTGCACTTTTGGCACAAAAAGTACGGTGTCTATTGAAAGACTCTGGATACTACATTGTCAACAGTCCCCACATATTCAAAGATGTGCATAACCAAGGCTATAAGCATAGCGTTAACTAGAATACGACTAGTAATGCCATGCCGAGTTTGCGTCATGGAGCCTCTATAAGGTCTGCATCACTGTGCATACAAACAAAACTACTAGTGCACCAACAAGTCAATCATTGATGAAATATGAAACATGTTGAGCATGAGACAAATCCTTCAAACAGAGGCAAGAAGAGAAATGCTCAAACTAAACGTAAGGCGGCAAGTCAACTCAGCTAGTCATGGTAGTTGTCATCCAATGGCTGTCCAATAGCTTAAGCTATTAGAGAATAGACCAAACTATTTATATAAAGTTCTCACACCTTCTTTGACATGAGAAACACTTGGCACACAGAGATGGATGGACAGACAATATGGAGTACAACCAGACAGACAAAAGGGAGAACAATGCAACTAGAAATACCTGAACCCAAGAACTCCTCGAATCAAAACTCCAATACTATGTTAGACAACCACTTTCTCAAAAGTTCAAACTATTAGAAAACATGCCAAAGAAAGTACACCAAGCCCACAGTAATGTCAGGTCTAGCTTCACTTTCTAAACAATTTGTTACCTCTCAACATTCCAAAACTATCCTCTAATTCATGGTTACTTCCAAAGTCGAGTTCTTTCATTTACTCAGCATTCCCAAACTACAAAACTAAAAAAAATCAACTATGCTTTAGACCAATTTACTTGAGAAACAGAAATAAATTTAGAGTAGGATTTGCTTAATCCATATCAGTTCCACCCCCAAATTCCCAATCCAGGTGCTTAGGTTCATATTACCATGATAAATGGGCTTATGCTAAACAATTTAATATTATATACCTATCGATATATACTATTGTAAAGAGAAGCCTCCTCTTGGTGTCTATGTCTCAAATTATAGGTTTTCCCAAAATATGCCTATATCAGCACTAAGCCAAAATCAATTCAAACCATCTTCATAAGTTGAAAATGTAGATCAAGTCAATTGAACAAACACAACACAACAATTCATCTTCAGAAACACACACACACATATATATACATGACATATTACTCATCCACACAATTAAATATATGTACATACATAGAGAGAAATATAGACGAGTAAGGTTACCTCAAGTATCATAAAGATCTAACCATTTTTATGTAATGGACAAGCTATTTTCTCTTGAAATTTCCTGCATTAGCAAGTAAATGGGCTCCAAATTAGTAACTACCATGATGCGCATTCCAATTAAAATAGCACTCACAGCAATCACTACAACCAGCCTGTTAATAATAGGGGCATCAATCCAGGAAAAATGCACCTCACAATGCTTTGAGCATTTTCATATATACTGCACAAAATCCTTATATTATTTTAACCTATCTTCTACTAATTTGGTGTATTCACTAGAACTGCAGTAATCATCAGGACCAAGCCTTAATGTATGGGCTGATATTTGCCAAAGAACAATATATTTCCTTGTATCTAGTAATTATGTGTCTTTTCGAATCATATGTGCAAGGCTAATGAAGTCGAAGAGAAACAAAAGACAACGAAGGTAAGATACCTCAGTCTAAATCAGATCTAGCAAATAGAGATATCCTAGCATGGGATTATTGTTATTTTCAACATAAATCATTTGAAGAAATTCAATCAAAACTAGTCAAACAACTTCTTTTCTTTACTCTTCTAACTTATCCAATCAGTTCTTTTCTTTTCTTTTCTTTTCTTTTCTTTACTAAATTACCAAACAGAGTGCCAGTTTTCTATGTAACCAAACAGAGAGAGAAAAGGCAAAAATTTGCTACCCATAAAGGAGGGAAGCTCCTCAAGCCTCAAAAGTCGAAAGAAAACCTTCATGAGAGGGAATGGAATATATATATGTGTGTGTGTGTGTGTGTGCGCGTGTGTATATATTGGGATGCATCAGCAACCACCTTAAGTACAACCAACATTTCCCAAATCTAAAAAACAATTTTTAAAAAACAAAAACACCGAAAACAAAAAAAATAAGAAAAATACACAAATAGAAAGCAAACCCATAACCACAAAACACCAAAAAACCAAACCCAGAACCTAAAATCAGAAATTGAAGGGCACATATCAAACTGGTTATGAACAAATTGAGAAGATTAATTGAAGTAAGGAAGTAGAAATAGGTAAATTGATGGAAACCCATAACAGAAAAGAAGTGGAGCTCACAGAAGCATAGTCGGGATGGTTACCAAGCAGCAGTTTCAGCGGCCAATTCATCGAGTTGGCTGGTGGTGATGCCCTTGAGCTTCTTGAAACGGGCAATGATCTTATTGAAATGTAGAGTCTCTTGACGCCCATCTCTTTTTACAACATACATCTTTAAAAAGCTCCTAAACTAGATAGATAGTAAAGAATTTTCAGAGAGGACTTTCGTCGAACAGGTTTGGTGCACAATGTGGCTGATACAACCAAATCAAACAACAATCAGATACCCAATTACACACATATACAAACTTCGAATTTCCATTTCCGCCATTAGGGTTTGGAAATCGAACAATCAGATACCAAAAAAAAAATTTTAAAGAAAAAAAAAAATCAATATCACCATTTTCCAAGAATTTGACATCCCAAACACAACCAGGATGCTCTATACTTTGGACACAAACTCCATCTACAACACAAAACCATTTCTCAGGTAAAAAAACAACATTCAATTAATAAATCTGAAGATTTAAAACGAGAAAAGAAAAACATAACACTAATACTAGTAACCAGTGATTATTTCAAACACACAGTTTTCGTTTTCGAAGTTTTACTATATTAAAAGATGAAAGGAGATGCTCACTTCAAATAAATTTGTGGTTATAAACTTAATTCTCGTAACCAACAATCAATATAATAATAAAAAACATAGTTTCAGGTACTCCATCTGCTATAGAAGAAGTGTACAACTATAATACAAAAAGGAGAGAACTGCTACCTCCTTATGAGTCTTATTCTTCACCAAAAAATTGATTCTCATTCTATCCGAACCTTTTGAAGGAATAACTATATAACAGCTACCTCAAATTTGCCCACCATTATGTTAGGGACACTGATTGTGGCCGCCTCCTCTGCATCATCTTTTGACTTCTTTACAATTATAACATGAGCTCATTCTACACACACACACACACACACATATGTTATGTGGTTAGTTTACCTTTAACCCTTCACTTGCCACAATGCCTGCTATGCCTTGAGCAAACCCAACCCACACCAGATTCCATCACAGCAGCAACAAGAAAAACTAATATTACACTCAGACATCAGCACAAAAACACCTAAATTCATCACAGCAGCACAACACAAAACCAGCATCAGCTGAGCAAAACAGGCCCACTGGACCATTGTTTCTGTTAGACACCATACCAATTCTGCTATTGGCTGAGTCTACCAACAGAGCTGAGCAGACCAACCACTAGCAGAACAAAACACCCGACCCACACCAGCAAGCATAATTATCAGCAAGCATAACTATCAGCTGAGTATATCATATCAGCAGACCAAAACAGGACCACAACAGAACCAAAACTAGTCCAGCAAACCAGTAAGACCAACAAAGCAGACAGCAGCTAAGCATATCAGTTCAGCAGCATAGCATACCATCTGAGCATAACATATCAGCAGACCAACAAAGAATACCAATTAATAGAGAGAACAATGATAAGCAGACCAACAATTAATAGGCAGACCAGTAAAGTAATACCCTCAGATCAGCAGAGCAATCAATAAGACAGAACAGCCCAGAACAGAAGAACAACAATAATCAGAATGTTGTATACCATACAGATCAGTCCATTTTGTATACCAGATAATCATAAAATAAATAGATAGAGCAATCAGAAATAACAAACCAGACATAATCAACTGAAATCACTACCAATTCTGATGCAGAACAAATAAAACTCCACCAAATAAACTCCCAAAACAGATACACACTCAACCACCAATCCTCAGGCAAAACTTGACCTGCTGTAACAGACCAGCAACATGCATTAAAGGCCCATAAAGATTATAAATAAGGGTATGGTCTCACAAAACTCAACCCTCAAACACTCCCAACTCAGAATTGAATGACAGGTAAAGATTATAAACCTGTACAGCAGAGATTATAAATAACGGTACTCACTCCATTCAACCCTCTCTTTGTATTAAATTCTTTCTTAGTTTCCTGTTTCCTTTTCTTGGTTTTCTTGTTTTGAATGATTTTCAGTTCTGTTTCCAATCCTTAGTACAACATGAGCAACACCGCAAGAGCAATAATGAAAGTCACTTTTCATTTGGCTTATAACAGAGATTAAGCAAATCCCAATCTCCTTGTTAATTTCTCCGATCCAATTTTGTGCAGGTAAAAGAACTGTATAATTAATAATGAAAAAGGTGTTGTGTGTGATTTTTAAGCTCGACATCTACTTATCTTTTTCCATTTCAATCTCTATTTTTTTTACCCTCTTTGTGAAGTTATTGTTTTTCCATAGTTTTTATTCATCAAGAAATCAATGGATGTGATTAACCCTTTTCTTGGTAATTTTTACTAATGATAAAATTGTTATTACTTGAATTCTAACAAAATACAAACTTGAATGCTAAATAAAAATGGGTTCTAAGGGTAGGATAAGGTATGCCAAATCTGAATGTCAACCATATTTATGTAACTACTAGCAGGTTTAGGAGGTCACATCAGCAAGACAATTGAAGGACACAAGGGCTACATGGCTGCAGCCATATCCACAACATGGGCAGTTGGCTAAAGCATTACAAGTCAAGGTAGAGCTGCAGCCAAGGCCACAGCCATGGCCACAGCTCAGAACAACAGAACAGTTGCAGCAGTTGCAGCCACAACTCAGTCCAACAGAGCAATTGCATCAGATTGCAAATACATTCAAGTTCTTCTCTGATTTTCTTTAATTTTAACATGAGGAGCAAGTGTAAAACAATAGCCAACAATCTTTTAATTGAATTGAATGAAATCACAAGCTTTAATAACATATGGCTTTAACCAATGAAACCAAAAAGGAAAATAGTAAGTAAAACTTATAGGAAAATGTAGACCAGTTTAAGCATTCTTAAGGAGAACTGTGTCCATGTGCATTTGTTTTTACATAAAGGTGCCTATGTGTGTCTCAATGTGAACTTTCTGCATGTGTGCAAAACTAGAAATCATACCTTCTGCAAGCTATCACCACTACCAAATGGAGAGTTCAAAGGAGAACTTCTTCGAGTGTATGTTCGGGGACTATTAGCTTCAGATGGAATACCAGCACTCCATTCTGTTCTCCACTTCCGTTGATGGCCACGCGAAATTAATGCTTTTAAACTAATAAACCATTTCTCAGCTTCATCTTTATCTTTACAAATCTGGAATGAAAGTCATTTACCAAATTACAAATAGAGTAAAATATATATCTATTTGGAAACAACTCTAAAATAGCAGGAGAGAATTGGTATTTTAGGAAGATCGTTGTAGCAACTGAAAATTAAGAAGGAAATGGATACGTCAAATGAGATGCTTACCAAATCCAGTGACCTGTCGTTATATATAAGAGAGAAGGACTGGTACTCCTTCTCAAGCCGTGGATACCTTTGAAAGATCGGCTGAAAAATATTACACAATGAAATGAAATTGTAGGGCCTTAATTTAGTCAGCCCATATCAGGAAGAATTTAAGTTTTATTAGAAGTGCTGAAACTAAGTCTGCATATAGCTACTCACATGACCATTGTAAACAAACTTAATGAAAAGATTGTTGCACACAGCAATTGTTTGACTTCTACATAAGTTAGCATTATTCTGGATCTTAAATCAGCTTTTAGATTAGCCTCAGCAAATGAATGGTTTAATAAATTGACAAACTGGAAAGTGTTGGGAGATAAAACTCTACAAGCAAAATAACGGTCATGCATGTAGCAACTTCATCTTCAGGACGAAACATTTTGCATACCACAATATAAAGGACAAGTATCCTGGAACAATGTTTATCAAATGACTACTTTATGGTGGTTAGTGTTTTCTTTTACACTGATTAACTATAAAGCAACATATGGCTATTTCATGGTAAAAGCTCAGGATGTCAAGCTTCAGAACAGGTTTGAGTCAAGGGAAGCCACTTCATGTAAATAAAACCAGAAGGTAGGTTTGTACCCTGTCTACCAACCCAGCCTCTAGGAGAGAAACCCAAATGCAAATATCAATCAATTCTCTTTTTCTTCCTTTTTTGATAGGTAGATGTCAACAAATACTCCTTAAGCTTATATTCATTATACCACAGAACTTATTTTTCAATAGCAGTGAATACCAAGTGCCCTAGTTAATTTATTTTTCAATAGCGGTGAATACCAAGTGCCCTTGTCTTCTGTGAAGTTCCCTTAATTAGATGTGATTTAAATAAGATGATGTGACTTAAATAGGATAGTGACTTTTTGACTTTTTGTATTATTTAGTAGATGCCAAACTTGGCCTTATTTTCAATAGCAGTGAATACCAAGTGCCCTAGTTAATTTATTTTTCAATAGCGGTGAATACCAAGTGCCCTTGTCTTCTGTGAAGTTCCCTTAATTACATTATGAACTACCCTGAATTTCCTATGTTTTGATATTCCACAAGAATTGCCTCCTAACACTACTCAGCAAGGAAACTTCTATTTTAGATTCCTTTTTAAGTCCACAAAACTCATGCAGTCCCAGTTCGTTTTAATATACTTCATGTCCAAGTAAAGATTGAATCTATGTCAATGCAAAGTAAAATAATCCAAATTGAAGGTCAAAATCAAAATAGACCGCTGTACACAAAGGGAAGATTAGTTTTTTTTTTTTTTTGGTTTTTTAAGTTTGTAGAAAAACTATCCATTTGAGATTTTTACCCCACTTTGTATTCTAAACCATTGTTAGACATGTTATATAATCTCATAAAAGAGTAAATTACCTTGTTGGATATTGCCATGGAATAAAATTCAATAACAATCAGAAAATGAGATGAACACAATCAAATGTGTCAATAAAAGTACTTTTTTGACGATCAGCTCTTCTCAAAGAAAGCCTGTTTAGTTAAGTTTGACAAACAGGGATGGATTAGGTGGCTGGAATTTGAGGTATAAAAGGGAGAGCTCTTCAAGATGGATGTGTTCAAACTAATCAAGATGGATGAAAACAGTCCTTGTCAGTCAAATAGTTCTAGGATGCATGCTATCCTTAATAAAATTTTGAAACATATCTACTAATGAGGAATCATAAATCATGTCAAACACAAATAGGATATCATGTCAAACACAAATAGGAATCATAAATCAAATTTATTTTCTAAAAGCATTACAAGAACCAATCAAACAAGCTAATGAGCAGTTCCACCATCATACAAAAATAAAATCAAATCAAATCAAATTGTTCATCTGTTGGAAATCAAATGAATATACTCTAAAAGATTGAAATGTGTATAAATAGAAATTGCTGTTGTATATAAAGCCGGAGAGGTGGAGACTTTCAATTTGGTTTTAATTGATTTTCTAAAAGTTGAACTTTTTTTATTTTTTTTAGTGAACTTTTTTAGTATTTTTAAACATGTTTTTTACTTTTTAGATGCATCTAAAAAGTGTTTCTAGATTAGGCATATTTAAAAAAAAAATACAAAAAATAAATAAAAACAAAAATTCAGTACATTTTTAAATTCCTGTGTATTTATTAATTTTTTAAATCTATTTTTTCACAATTATTTTATTTTTTAGGTGCATCTAAAAAGTAAGAAACTTAGAAATACTAAAAAAATTCACTAAACAAAAAAAATATGAAAAACCAAAAAAATTAATTTTCAGAAAATGATAGAAAACCAAATCTTTTTGTTCAAAATGCCCCTAATTTCATCAATCAATTTAGCCAGTATTAATTTTGAGTATTAAAATGAAATGACACGAAGCACCCCTACATTGGGATCGATGGAGAAAATTACAGAAAACACAAGAATTTCAGAAATGACACAAAAGAATATGAAATAAATAATCACAATGAAACATCTGTTTAACCAATTTAGGAGTTTATTCTAAACTGTAAAGAATATCATAGATTTTTAAACTAAGATTGAATTAGCCAAAATTGCCATTAGACATTAAAACTCAAAGTTGACATTTCATTTCAAAAACCTTAATGCTGTATTTGGTTGGAAATTTGGAAAAGGATTTGGAAAGGGAAAAAAAAAAAAAACCAAAAAATGAAAGATGATGTTATGCGATTTGAAGATGATGTTACCTGAATGAAAGATGAAACAAAAACCCCAAAAATGTAGACAGATATAGGTGTATGTATGTATGTATAGAGAGAAGAGAAGAGAAAAACAGAGAAGGGAAGGGAGAAAGGGGATATAAATATATATATATATACCGAGAGAGAGAGAGAGACGAAACAAGGGTTTTAGGAAGAAGGAAGAGAAGAGAAGAGAGAATGCCTTACCAGCGTGTGGCATTGAAGAACCTCAAAAGGGCCTACGCAAATAGAATAGATGAACAATCAGAAATTGAAGCCAAGTCCAAGTCGAAGCAGATTACAAATTGATTCAATGGAAAGCGTGATTGCTTTGTTGAGGAAGGAAGTGGACTGCGTCAATGGACTGCCATGCGTCTCGATCTCCACCGATTCAATTGATTGAAGAACCCTTTCCCCTTCAGCTTCGTCTTTGAAAAAGCCTTTCCCCTTCACCTACGTCTTTCTTCACCTACGTCTTATCAGTCTGATTGATGATAAAAAAATAAATTAAATATATGTTTTTTTTCAGTGGCGCCAGGGTTTTGGCGCCTAAAATATTTTCGGCATACCATTCACGACGCACATGGTAAGCTGTAAAAAATCACTTATTTTTAATGACTGTTATACGTGTGTCGTATATAACTGATGTATTAACGGTACGTCATATATATGTCATAGAAAATTTTATTATTTATGACTAAATTTGCAAGTCGTAAAAAAATTATCATTTTTACCATTAACGACTTGTGCAATAGACACGCCGTAGTTAGTATATTATTTACGACATGTAAAAAAAGCAAGTCGTAAAAGTGAGAAATTACGGCTTGCATTCATTGTATGCCGTTAATGTGGTACCGTAAAAAGTCACTTTTGTTGTAGTGGTGGCTCCGGCTTTGTTGAGGAAGGAAGTGGACTGCGTCAATGGACTGCCATGCGTCTCGATCTCCACCGATTCAATTGATTGAAGAACCCTTTCCCCTTCAGCTTCGTCTTTGAAAAAGCCTTTCCCCTTCACCTACGTCTTTCTTCACCTACGTCTTATCAGTCTGATTGATGATAAAAAAATAAATTAAATATATGTTTTTTTTCAGTGGCGCCAGGGTTTTGGCGCCTAAAATATTTTGGGCATACCATTCGCGACGCACATGGTAAGCTGTAAAAAGTCACTTATTTTTAACGACTGGCATACGTGTGTCGTATATAACTGATGTATTGACGGTATGTCATATGTATATCATAGAAAATTTTATTATTTACGACTAAATTTGTAAGCCATAAAAAAATTATTATTTTTACCATTAACGACTTGCGCAATAGATACGCCGTGGTTAGTATATTATTTACGACATGCAAAAAAAACAAGTCGTAGAAGTGAGAAATTACGGCTTGCATTCATTGTATGTCGTTAATGTGGTGCCGTAAAAAGTCAATTTTGTTGTAGTGGTGGCTCCGTTGAAGTATCTTCCTTCTCTCCCCTTTTGCCTTGGAGGGTAACTAGATAGGCGATCTCTCCCCTCTTGAAGCCTTTCTTGACTTGCATTGCGGAGAGTACCTTCTTGTCCAAACTTGCCTTGGCCACTGTGGAGACCATGCATGGACCACCCTCGAGAATGCACATAGAGTTGTACTGTGGTAACGACACTACATTGAATTGTTGCAAAAACTCCTAGTCTAGCACAATGTTGAAGTCGTCAAGCGGTGCAGCAGAGAAGTCCATCTTCTCTTGCCAAGTCTCCAAGTGTAGCTCTACCTTTCGAGCCACGCCATCAAGTGGTTTGGCTTCCGCATTCACCGTCTTGTGCCAGCCTTGACCCTTGTCAAACTTCAACCCCCAACCGCTTGGCTTCGGCATTCTTGATAAAGTTGTGTGATGCTCCCATATCCACCATCACTTGAGTAGCTTTCCCATTGATGTTAGCATTCACATACATCAAGGACCGGTCTTTGTTGTTTGTTGGGACTGGATTTGCCTTGAGTACATTGAGTAGTTATAGACACCCCATGTGTGCTTGCTCTTTCATTTCTTATTTCTCAAGCATTGCACTAAGGCTCTTTTTCTTGGGACAATCCCACGCCCAATGTGGCCCATCACAAATGAAGCAATTGTCTCTAGGCTAGATGTCTTTCTTAGCATCTTTTTCTTCCAGTCTTTGCCCAATGGTGGCTTGCTTTCGTCTTCTTTGCTCCTTAGAGCGTTAGAATCCTTAGACTCTTTGGCCCACTTTTCTCCCCCACCTTTGCCTTGACCATCCTTGGTGGACTTCGAGTTAGATGCTTCTGGCTTTGTAGATTCCACCAATGTCTCGGCCATGGTGAGTGCAGTGGAAATGTCTTTGACACCCCTTCGTTGTAACTCCAATTGTGCCCATTGCTTAAGACCAACTGTGAAGTTGAAAATCAAGTAATCATCACTCATAATAGGAGTTTGAAGCATTAACCCAGAGAATTCTTGGACATAGTCTCAGATAAAGCGGGTGTACTTCAACTCCCTCATTTTCAATCGAGCTTCACATGCCACATTTTCAAGGTAGAATTGCCTCATTAGTTCGTTCTTAACTTCCTCTCATGAAGAGATAGTGCAAGTGCCTTTTTCAATTTCAGCATGCCTACAACGCCACCAAATCCCAGCAAGCTTAGTGAGGTAGAGAGAAGCAGTGCGTACCTTAGCCATTTCATCATTTAAGTTTAAGGCTTCAAAGTACCTCTCTAAGTGCCAAATGTAGTCTTCCAGCTCTTTGGTATCCCTCTTGCCATTAAACTCTTTAGGCTTTGGTGCTTCAAGTCTTGCAGTGAATCCTGCATTAGTGGTAATGCCACCACTAGCCACAGCTCGTTTGCGCATAGCCCAGTCCATCCATGTTTGCTCCATGCCTTCCTTCAGCTCTTGGACTTGGTCTTGGAGTTGAGAGATAGCCTTCAAGATCTGTTCCTGGAAGTCATAGCTTTTCTGCTTTTGGGTCTCAGAGTTGGTCCGGATGGTTTCCCGTATGGACTCAAGCAATTCCTCGACTTGGCTTTCCATATTGCTGTCAAGTTGCTTCATCTCTTATTCTAATCAATCTAGGCGCTCCTTAACATAGGTCATGACCACTTCCACCTTGACCACTCAGGTCTCCATAGCACTCAAAACATCACATGACATGTCTTTGGCCTTCTTTCCCAAACTAGCAGCAGGCTCCCTTCCGACATCATACTCCTCTTTCTTGGGTTACAATGCCTTTGCAACCTTGCTATGATACCAACTGTCACAACCTTGGTTTTTCCAAGCCAACTGTGCTACCCTAGATGCTTGTCACCTGCCTGGTTTACACATAAGTAGGCTTTTTTAGAAGAGAGCTAGGAGAGATTCACACCTACTTGAGGATTTCTAGAGAGAGAAAGTAGTCTAGAGAGAGAAGCTCTTGGAGAATGCTTTAGCTTTGTATAACTTTGGATTACTTTTGGATACACTTGGATGGTTTGGGCAAATGAGGCCCTCCCCATTTTATATGCTACAAAGAATATTCTAGAACTACAATGATGGAGAGTGTTCTGGACACTTCCTCTAGCTCTATCTTATAGACTATACCAGAATCATTCTATAATGTACATATCTAGAAGGATGTACAAATATCTACAACTATGTACAATTCTCCACAAAACTAGGGAGTTCTAGACGCTTCCAGCAGTCTCCATAATCTCCCAGGGCTTTTTAGTGAGGGACATCATCAAAATTTCTCAGTCTGTGACATAGGGCTACGACCTGTGCAGGTGCCTTGGTTGTGGCTTGTGCGACTGCCTTGGCTACTGCCTAGGCTACGGCCTGTGCAGGTGCCTTGGCTGCGGCTTGTGCTGCTACCTTGGCTGAGGCATGTGCTGCTGCATGGCTAGAAGCCTGCGATGCAGCCTGGGCTGCCACCTTAGCTACGGCCTAGGATACAACATGTGATGCTGCCTTGGTTACGGCATGTGCGGCTGCCTAGCTACGGTCTAGTCTGTTGCCTTGGCTGTGGCCTAGGCTGCTAGCAAGGTTGTGGCCTGGGCTACTGCTGGCTGCGGCTTGGGCTGCTGCTGAGTAGCGGCCTGGTCTGTTGCTGACTGCAGCCTAAGCTGTTGCTGGCTATGATCTTGGCTGTTGCTAGGCCGTGTCCTGGGCTGCTGCTGGTTACAGCTTGGCATGTGCTATCTCTTAGCATACCGTAGGATGTTCTTGCACTATGCCTTGGGCCTTTACTTGTATTTGCACCAACAACTTCTTGAGCATGTCTTTGGCTCTCCAAAGGGCACAAATGTGTGTGGCATCAAGGTGTTGACCCTTGGATGGGCGTACCTTGACATCTTGCCAAGTGACGTAGCCTAGGCCGAGCACATGCAGGCAAATCCACGACCTTGACAAATGTCGCAGACGCCTTGGTCATGGCCTTGCCAAGTGCAGCAGCCTTGTCAAGTGGTATCGCCTTGGTTGTGGGCATGCAAGCCAGGCTATGGCCTTGCCAAGAGGCGCAACCCAGGCTGCACAGATGCAAGTGAGGCCATGGCCTTACCATGTGCCACAGCCTTCGCCGCAGGCGTGCAAGCTAGGTCACGACCTTGGCAAGTGCGGCAGCCTTGGCCACAGCCCTGGCCATGTGCGTGCAAGCTAGGTTGTGGCCTTGGCAAGTGATGCAGCCCAGGTCACATGCATGCAAGTGAGGCCACGGTGTTGCCAAGTGCCATAGCCTTGGCCGCAGCCCTGACCACGTGCATGCAAGCCAGGCCAGGGACTTGCCAAGTGTTGCGCCCAGGCCGCGCGCATGCAAGTGGGGTTGCAACCTTGCCAAGTACTACAACCTTGGCCGCAGGTATGTAAGTTAGACCGCAGACCATTCAAGCCAGGCCGCAGCCCTGGCCCATTCAAGCAGACTAGGTGGCCTTGGCAAGTGCCGCAGCTCAGGCCGCAAGCACGCAAGTGAGGCTGCAGCCTTGCCAAGTGCCACAGCCCTGGCATGCAAGCCAAGCTACACATATGCAAGTGAGGCCGTAACCTTTCGAACTTTTACAGCCTTGGCCACAGGTATGCAAGCCAGGTTGAGGCCCATGCCGCATGCACCACAGTGTTGGTCACAACTCTAGCCGTGCACTTAAAATCTAGGCCCTGACCTTGCCAAGTACCATAGGCCAGGCCGTCGCGCGGATTAAAGCCGTCGTTCGACATGTGCTGTCGATGCCCTACTCATTATAAAGTCTCTCCTTAGGCCTTAGGCACACACTTGGACTATATTATGTGTTCCAAACCTCACGGTCAATCGATCAGAGGAGGGACAGGGAGAGGGGAAGGACGAATCGAAACGACGCAAGGCTAAATCTCAGTGGATTGTAGTAGCAAGACCACTCTGCCACTGACAATACCCAGTCGCGTATTTAAGTCATCTGCGAAGGATTCTACCCACCACTCGTGATAGGAATTGTACTTCAAGGTAGCCCGCGTGGCTCATCCGCCACGCGAGCTTCACCAACAACACG